CTTCGCAAAACCGCTTTCAAAACAATTATTAGTCAAGAAACTGCATACTTCGATGATCAAAGTAATTCTGTGGGTGCATTGTGTGCTCGATTAGCAAGTGATTGTTCAAATATTCAAGGTGTAGGTATATTACTATTAATTCCCAATAAATATTAATTAATGTCACTAATGTTTCTTAGGCTACTGGAGCAAGAATTGGAATTATCGTTCAAGCACTATCAACTCTCACTATCAGTGTTATTGTATCTTTATTTTACTCATGGAACTTAACTTTAGTCACAATCTTTACCGTACCTGTTGTTTGCTTGTCAATTGTTTTTGAGTCACGTTTCATGGAATCATATGCTCTTGCTGAAAAACTTGCCATCGAAAATGCTTCACAAGTAGCAGTTGAAGCGATTTCAAATATACGTACTGTCGCCAGTTTGGGATTGGAAAGAAATGTGATGCATTGTTACAATGAACAAATCGATCGTGCTGGTGCACTTTGTCGCAATAAAGTTAGATTTCGGGGTACATTATTTGGTATGGGACAAGCATCACCTTTTTTAGCTTATGGAGTATCATTATATTACGGAGGATTGTTAGTTGCTAATGAAGGCTTACAATATGAAAACGTTATTAAGTATGTATATCAGATCTGTAAGTTAAACATAAATAAAAAATTTTAATTACTTAACAGAGTATCAGAAGCATTACTATTCGGTTCATGGATGTTGGGATATGCCTTAGCATATTCACCAAACGTAAGTGCAGGTATTCTATCTGCAGAAAACATATTGAAACTATTTAACAGATCGCCTGCAACACAAATATTAAAATACCAAACTTTTAACGCAACTGAGGTAAGACATATTGATTAATATATTAAAGCTTTTATTATAATATGTAACTTATAGAAAACAGATGGTGATATTATATACAAAGACATTAACTTTCAATATCCCACAAGAAAAGGCATACAAATATTACAAAATCTCAACTTGGATATTAAACGTGGGACCACGGTAGCATTGGTAGGATCATCTGGATCTGGTAAATCGACATGCATACAACTTTTACTTCGTTATTATGATCCAAATAGTGGTTCAATCAATATAAATGGTATACCAACTACAGAATTTTCAATGAATACTTTGCGTTCAAGTTTAGGTCTAGTATCACAAGAACCTGTATTATTCGATAGAACAATTGCAGAGAATATTGCTTATGGAAATAACTTCCGTGATGATATTCCTATG